CTCCCCGCCGCCGCCCCTCCCCTCCCCCGCCTTTTCGGTCGGCCGCCCCCCCCGTCCGCGACCTGCTCTGGCAGCTGCTCCCCTCTGCTCACCAACCTGTGAGCCGCTCAGCTCCGCTCCAACCGTCCCCATGAGGCTCCACTCGGCTAGCTGCTCCGCCAGCCGCTTAGCAATATAGCTTCACGCTCCCCCACTAGTTAACACAGTCTTAGTGATCTCAGCTCTTAATAACTTTAGCTCTTTTGTAATTTCAGCTCTTTAGTAGGGGAGCCCCAGTGCTAATGCACCATTGGCCCAAAGTGAATTTAGCTCAGCAGCCTGTAACTAGACTTCTTATGGAATCAAAATTAGCTCTGACATTCCACAGTGGAGAGAGGAGGTAGTGCAATTGGTGTTTCAAGCCCTCAAAGAGGGCCCATACTATCAAATATAAATACCTGTCCCCCTTCTTTCTCAATTTACTGGGTTTTGTAACCCATGCCCCTTGTCAAGCAAGTGCTACTTAGGTAATGGTGAAGGACTCACTCAGTCCTTCTGTCATACAACAGTTTCACTGGCCTTGATTCACAGAATCAGGGTAACAAAACTTTATTCTTTCTGCCCCAATAATAGAGAAACTGGGGATCCCACACCAGCCAAAGTAACCACTTTCAGTTGCTGTTGTTTTATGCCAGGCGAGTGGGTGTGCCTATGCAAACCAGATCAGCCCCTGGAGTTCTTTTTCACACTCGCCATAATTTACCACCAGATGTCAGGGTAGAGCTTATCCTGACTCTGCTTACAGGTGCCAAAGAGATAAAAAGCCTCTCCTGGGGCAGAGCAGGGCCAGGAGGGGGAGTGTCACATGGCTGGGGGCAGGAACTGGGCGTTCAGGATGAAAACCAGCCCAGAGCAACGGAGGCTCCACAAAGAAGAGGAGTCGGCGTTCGGTGGGACTCAGGAGCTCCCGGCTAGGACTGAAAGAGATGGAGACGGGATCCATGTTTGGCTCTTCAGCAGTTTGGCTGGGTGGAGCCCTGGCCTGGTTCTTCACCTTCACTTCTCTCTGCTGCCCAGGGACCTCCCAGGCCGGGTTCCAGGGGACCAATAAACCGTGTGCTGTGTGGAAAAGGCTTTGGGATGTCATTGCAAACACTGGCTGGGGACACTGGTCCCCAAAGAGCAGCCAGGTCTCTCCAGGGGTCTGTCTCAGTGGGATGTGCCGGGCAGAGCTCGTGGGGTGAAGCAGGGGGGCTGGAGCCGTGTGCTCGGCCCTGGAGGAAGAGAGTCTGGCACGTCACAGGGTTCCTCCAAGGAGTGGTTTAAAAGCTGGGGCGTAGCACTGAGTCTGGGGAGCCACGACAGGGAGCAGCGCTGTGGGTCCCAGCCGGGGGCACCAGGCCAGTGTGGGGTGTCTCCTTCACAGCCAGAACCGACAGCAGAGAAGGGCGGGCACATCTGCAGGCAGACCCGGGTAGAGCCAGCCCTGCCCCCAGCCAGGGCACAGTCCTACCAGGGCCCAGCGCCCTCCCCACCGGCCAGGGAGCTGGGCCCCCACCCCCAGCCAGCCACTGCCTTGCCTCATGACTTCGACCCTCAGACTTGCACACAGTCTCCATTTCCCAAGATTGAATCATTATTTAAAAAACTGTATAGAAATCACCACTCTCCCATCATTCAGTGCATCTGGCCCGGCCCTGGGCCCCTTGCCCAGCTCCGGCCTCAGCGGAGCCGCTTCTCCTCCCACATGTGCAGCACCTTTCCCCGCAGGCACCTTCCGGAAAAACAAGCTGTTGCCTCAGCTCATGTTCCCCTGCACGGAGAGGAGAGGAGACGGCTGTCAGGGTGCCCTGCCCTGCCCTGGCCTGCCCTGCCCTGGGTAGCTTCCCTCTGCCTGTCCCCCAGGCCCCAGTCTGCCTGGCCCTTCCCCACCACCAGCCCTCCTAGCCACACAGCAGGGCCAGCGCTTCCCAGCCCTTCTATAACTCCCACCCTGAGATGAGTGCCAGGCACAGCTGCCCCACACACGGCGTCGCTGTGCTATGGGGCTGGGGCAAGGCTGGCATGTTACTCATAAGAACATAAGAATGGCCATACTGGGTCAGACCAAAGGTCCATCCAGCCCAGTATCCTGTCTACCGACAGTGGCCAATGCCAGGTGCCCCAGAGGGAGTGAACCTAACCGGTAATTATCAAGTGATCTCTCTCCTGCCATCCATATCCACCCTCTGACTAACAGAGTCTAGGCACACCGTTCCTTATCCATCCTGGCCAATAGCCATTAATGGACTTAAACTCCATGAACTTATCCAGTTCTCTTTTAAACCCTTTTCTAATGCCAGTATATCTTTTTTGAGATGAGGAGACCACATCTGTACTCAGTATTCAAGATGTGGACGTACCATCGATTTATATAAGGGCAATAATATATTCTCCGTCTTATTCTCTTTTTAATGATTCCTAACATCCTGTTTGCTTTTTTGACCACCTCCTTGAGCAGTTGGCTCCAGCAGTCTAACCAGGAGGAGTAGTTGAGTGCGTAGAGGGGGAGGCCACCAGCCAGCCTGCAAGAGAGGAGAGGGGGGAGGAAGTAGCAGTGAGCCGTGTCCCATGTGCCCCGTACCCCCCCCCACCTCGCATGGGGACTGGGTCACAAGCCCACCGTGCTCCGGCACAGACACAGCCCTGCTCCGAGCCTGCAAACACAGCTCAAGCTGCTCCCCACCACGGCCTCTGCAGCAGCCAGTCGCCCGGGGGGCAGCAGCTGGGTCACCCCCTGCCGGCCACCGCAGCCTGTTCCCAGAACCTCCCTGGCCTCCCCAGCGCCACTTCCTGTCTGAGCCCTTCTGGGCTACGTGGCTTTAACTGGCCCTGAGCCAGGCAGCTCAGTCAGGTCCCAGGATCCCCAGCTGCCCCCTGTCCATTCCCCCCTGGCCAGAGCTTCCTGCCCCTGCCCCTAACACTACAGCGGGGCAGACGGGCACCAGGGGAGCAGCCTTTCTCCTGGGCACAGAGCTGATGCTCCCTAGTGAGATGGCCACGGGCAATACTCCCGAGGGGGTGGGGAGGGCTGATTCAGGAGGGCAGACCTCCCCCCCCACCCCACCAAGTCCCAGCAGTACTGCAGGCGGGCAGGGACCGGCTGTCACACCCGAACAGGCCCGGGTCTATTCTGGGAGGCTGCAACCTGTGATTTCGCTCCTGCCAAGCGTGACATGGGAGGGGAGGCGCTGCAGGGCCAGGGAGCGCAAGAGGCTGCCAAGTGTCTGGGGAAGAGGGGAGCCACAGGAGCCTGCGCGAGGGGCAGGGGGCGAGCTGCGAGCACAGCCAGGACTAGCTCCACGTCAGGCTGGGAGGGGGGACAGACGGGGCCGGAGCCCAGGATGGCGGCTCTGCCAGCTGCAGCAGAGACGGGATGATCTGTCCCCCCCCATCCCACCCTGCCGCCCAGTCGCTAGCCCCAGAGGTGTTTCACCGGGGGTGACTGCGGGTGGGGGGTGATTTGTTCCCAGCGCCAGGCCCAGCAGGGCTGCAGCTACCCGGGGGGACGTTGCCTCTCCCTGGCGCGGCTCCTTTCCCTTCCCAGACCCGTGTACGCGCCGATTCCCCGGTCTGACCATGGCCACATTGGGGCTTTTGCCACTTTCACTCACCGCTCCGGCTCAGCTTCCCTGTGTAGACGAGCCCTGGGGGACGGGCTCTAGCCCAAAGCAGGTTCAGCACCCCTCAACTCTGGCTAGCCGTGCTCTCCCTCAAATGGTCCAGTCCCTCTTTGAACATCCCTCAGCTCCCTCCTGTGGCAGTGAGTTCCACAGGCCCCTCACACATTGGCAGAAACTGACTCACGTCAATGGAGGAACTGAGAGGACAATGAGAACCCTAAGGACTGACCAATCAAGATGTAGCGGAAGCACCAGCAGGCTGACCATGTGAACCCAGCATGTGTTTGCTGGGGGAGGACAACGGACCGAGAGGAGTCAAGAGGGGTGATAAAACTGTGGCTCATGGAGACACAGCAGCTCTGCCCTGGGACTGACTGATGGACACAGCAGCTTGGCTGGGTGGACCCCTCACACCGGGGGGACTGAATGCTGGCTGAGTCCCTGTCTCTCTGCACTGACGTAAGGATGATCACCTCCCGCAGCCAGGTGACTCATCCTTGTTTTGCAAAGGGTGCCCACTGTCGCTGCAGATCCTCACAGGGAGCATCACGGCCTGAAGGGGCCCAGTACAAGTCTCCTGCAGGACTCTGGCTTTGGCTGGATTTGGTGCAGGGAGACAGGGATCCCTGGTGTCGAAGGCCCAGTTTCAGAGTTGTGGAGGGCACAGGCCTGTCCCTGTGGAAATGTGTGGGTCCCTGTGGCTCAGCACACACACTAAAGAGGTTGCTCCCAGGGGACTGGTTACAGGCTGGAGCATAGACCAGACCCTGTAGGTACGTGACAAAGAGTGCCCTTGCCAGAGGGTGGCTACAGACGTGGTGGGTTATCTCAATCAAGAGACCCTGAATCACAGTGCAGGAGGAGGTGGGGCTCTGACAGAGACCCGAACAGCCTGGATTTAGCAAAGAGATACAGGCACATCGACTTAGGATATTGATAAACAGAAAAAAATCTGCTTTCCTAACCAATTTGGGACTTTCTGAGCTTAAAGTGTTACCATTTGGGTTAATGAGTGCAGGAGCCACCTTTCAAAGGCTTGTGAATCAAGTGGCTGGGTGACAGGACTTTGCTCGTGTCTACATGGAGGATATTGCAGTCTTCAGCAATTCCTTGCCAGAGCATAAGGGTCACCTGGGAATGGTGCTGAAAAGACTCAAAAGTGCAGGTCTAAGTGTAAAGGTGTCAAAGTGCAGGATGGGGCATTGAAGATGTAAAACAAATTCTGTCGGGAAAGGCGAAGCCGGACTCTGGCCAAGTGTTTCAATTGTGCACTGACGCATCCAACACAGGCTTGGGAGCGCTGATGATGCCAGCAGGGGAGGGCACTGAGCAGCATCCCATCCCTTTCTGAGCAGAAAATGGACTCCAAGTGAATGGAATGACGTTGTTATAGAACATGAATGGTCGGCAACTGTGGGTTGTCCGACAGCTAAGATCCTACCTGTTCAACCGGAGGCGCTGGGTACTGACTGACTGCCCCCCTTTAGCGTGGCTACACAGAACCAAAGGCACCAACTCTTGGTTGTACGCTGGAATACAGCCCTCCAAAGGCATGAGATGGAGACTCAACATGTCATGGGGGCAGACGCGTTATCCAGGCAAGAGGGCCCAGAGGAGATGCATTCGGAAGAGCCAGTGGCTAGGCGTAGGGCGTCAATGCCAGGAGGCGACGGGACACAGATGTGCCCAAACATTTCCCAGGCAGGTACGTTACATATCCAACAACCATTTCCTCACTATTACAGTGATGGGGTCATGTGTGATAGTGACATTCCTCAGGGTACAATCTGGACCGATGGACAGCTGTGTCCCCTCAGCTCTCCAATCTAGGGAGTCTTTTACACTGCTTCACTGTGAGAGCAACCACTCCTGGTCTGTTCACACATGGCCTCTAGCATGCACAATCACTCCCAGATGAC